ACTTATAATATTATGTTATATCTCATGAACGATTTGAAAACTATATTATATAAAAACAAAAATATTTAAATCCTGATCAAAATAGTGATAGTAAACTCTTTATAGATAACAGTAATGGTTTATTAAAATATATTTTAATCAATTTCTATGATAAATTTATAAACTTTATTTTAAATAAAACGTTTAATAAAAAGTATACATTGTCCCCTCCATTATGATGTTACGTCCATTTAAATCATTGTAAATATAACCTGTCAAAATTCCCAGAAATAAAATAAAATAAAAATAGTATGCCAATTTTATATACTAATATCAATATTATAATTTGAAATATATTTATTTATTTTTATTTTAGGATTTTGTTAAATACTTATAAGCACTGTTACATTGAAAGGTAACAATTATAATTCTTATATCTGATTCATTATAGCAGTGATATGTGTACCAAACGAAATTTTATGTAAATAATGTATTAAATTTTCAAAATTTTTTGGTCATCCAACATTTTTTTATCGACACTTAAAAAAAAAATTCTCATAAAAATCGATAATTTCAGTGGTCAATAAATAACTAAAAAAAAAATCAAAATTGTTTGAAAATTAAACTGTATATACACTAACATAAACATTTGGTGAAAATTTCAAGAGTGTAGAATGATTAGTTTTTGAATTACAACCATATAAAAAAATCGATTTGGTCGAAAACTGGTTTTGCGTAAAAATTCCCGTTTTTCCGTCATTATTTTTGTTTTTCTCGATTTTTTTGAAAACTGTTGGAAAATGTTTACTTTTTACCTCTATAATGCACCAAGGATATTCACTTTGCCATCGGAAACCACCCCCTGAAGTTTGAAATTGAAGCATTATTTCAACTACTTATGCTGTACACAGACACAAAAAAAAAAAAATACACACATCATTGTAAAATCAATAGATTCATCACTCCGTTCAGAATTTAAAATTCATTGGACCAAAAAACTTTTTTAATTTAATTAAAAGATCCTTTTAAGTCAGTTATATAGGATTTAAAATAATATATATATATAATCGTAAATCTATAGGTAATAATATCCTATAGAAGTTAGAAGCTAAGATTTTGACGATTTTTTTTTTCAAAATTGATGAAATATAATGTTTAATATTTATGTATTTAAGGTTTAAAAATTGAATACAAAATTTTATACAGTTTTTCGTACTAGAATTTAAAAAAAAAGAGTTGACTAATACCACATATATTTTTTTGATAAATTTGAATATTCACTTAAAAAATTACGATTTTAGTTTTTGCAATGTTATTTGAAGATAATTAAAATAAAGTACTTAAATTTTGTTTTCATAACACATACTCTAACCTAACTCAGCATGCAGGTTTACTAGTCGATTAAGTGACGAGCATATATACGAGTGCACTTGAGAAAATTATAGTCAGTATTCTTTGATCTTCCAACATTCAAATAATTAACAACTCTAACAAGACCACGGATTCAAATATCGAAGACTTAGCAGAATATCGACTACTGTCGGCAATCAGAAACCACAAAATGCTTGCAAACGAAGTGGATATCCACAAACTGGAACGACGAAACGTTTTTAGGCCACCGACACAGTCAAGTAACCGACAAAGAACCACAGTGACCATCATCTGCGATATACTACGAGCCGCCATCGACGACAATCCGCCACCGACATAATATCTATGGAATATTATGGGCTGTCAACAACAAAGCACGACGGGTTGTGCACAAGACCTCCTGCACATTCGGAAACCGTATTTTTCAGGACCAAACTAAAACAAAGACTCCCCCAAGCGCACTTGCTTAGGTCACGCTCTACGCAATCGAGAGTTGTACACAAACGACACTTGTTTAAGCGGGCCTGGTACAATTAACGCAATCTTTCCACGCTTTTGTAAAATGTGTAGATGTTCTCCTTTTTTTATTGTAACAAAATCTACGGAGATACAGTCACCTAACTTCCAGGATTGGCCACGTTTGATGACGATACTTCAACCCTAATCAAAAAGAATCTGTGAATAAATTTATATAGAAATAAAGAAACGCATTACTTTCAATTGAAATCACCGTGTTCGTATTACTAAAGAGCCGGTGGAATGTTAAAGGCGTGTGCACCATTTTATACTGACAATTAAATTACAAGATATCCAGTAACATTTTTAGAAAATTTTAAACCAATTTTAAACTGTTTATTGGCATTTTCTCTTTATGTTTTGTTTTTTAGTATTGATAACTTTTTTTATAAAACTTTTATAATTGGAGGGTTTTGCATACAATAGCTTATTATTAAAGTCTATAACAATAATCACGAAGTACATTTGACACCTAGGTACTACTTAGAAATACGGATACCGACTTGCCTACTTTAAAAAAAAATAATATATTTGTTTATTTTTTGATTTATTGTAAATTTTTAATAATTCCTAGGTTTTTGCATGTAATTTCGTATCAGGAATATTTCTCTTAAATAAATTATATATCTAATTCCATATTTATTATGAAATTTGAAATTTTTGTTTCAAAGGTATAATAAATATATAAATGACTCAATATGTTTACATAGTTTGCAAATATGCATAGACAAATTATGTAATTGATTATTTGTTTATTTTTTCTCCATTATCTAATGGTTTACAAAAAAATAAAGTTAAACGATAAGTTTTAAGTAAGCTTTTCAATAATATAAATGTTTAAACGTATGCTGAATCGTCTTGTTTTTAGAAAAATGTTTTATCATCTATGAAAAAGATATTTTTATGTATATTATCATAATATTAAGTCTGCAGTTTTAATGATTGTATTTTTTGACATTTTTTATTTATATTCTACAGACCATGCGTGATGGACTGTATTAATTTTGTACTTGAGTTGCTTGATTATAAAACAAGTTTAAGACTTAAAATGTAACTTTAAAGTATTTTTTAAATATTTCCTTTATTATATTATTGTCCGTACATTTTGATAAAAATATATCTACCAATATCAATTACCCACATGTCACATTTATTTATAGTACTTATATATTTTTAAATTTAGCTCTTCATCTTCTTATTTTCATTCCAAAATATTAACTTAGCCAATTTATTAAAATATAGTACAAAATATATATTTAATAACAAATGGACATTGGATATAAAAAAAAATAAAATATAATTTCAATATAGTTAGATCAAAAATATCATATTTATTTGATGATCATACTGATGTTTAAATATGTTTTAATATATAAATATTTTAACATTATTAATATTACCAACAACAAAAAGTACACTTTTTAGTTCATAGTATATCTTAATAAAAACTACAACTTTTGAAGAACTCAATTAATAAAATTAAACGTTGTTCATCACAGAACTTTAAGTTTTATTAAACCATATGAATCTCTTAAATATACACTTTTGCTGATGATAATATTTGGCAGATCTAATAAGGAACTGCCAAAGACAAATAGTTTTTCGTAATTTTATACACTGTTATGAAAATATCAAGTCTTTAGTTATCTTACATCGTAATAATAATATTAAACATCTTAACTGGCTTATGGTGTATTTACCTTAAACTTATCAACGTAGAATACATTTTGAATAATTTATTTTCAACCAACTTTTAAGTGATTATTTTATACGGATTCACTGTACTATGTATTTTATAATATATTATGTTCAACGTTTCCTAAATATTTTTTTATAACATAAACAATGTAAAAATGATGTTTATGATAATATTAAATAACTTTAATAATGAAACATCCACTATTTTACAAACAAAAAATAATTATTTTAGCTTTTTTTTCATTTTCCCTCTATATCAATACCTAAATATATTATGCCTCTCATTATATTGTATAATTTTAAACGTTATTTTTATGTATATTAATTATAGAATGATACCGGTTTATGTATATCGATTTTATGAATAAATTCATTAAATTTAATGATTTGTAATATCAAATTTAGGTACTAAAATAAATTAGAAAACTAATCAATTAATTAAAGTTTACAAATTATATAACATTCTTATGAATTTATTTTCAATATAACAACATATAAAATATATATTTTAAATATTTTAATATTGTAATTTAAATAGGCTATACAAAAATCATATAATATAATATTAGCATATGTTTAATTTTCAATTTTTTATAACTTCAAATAAAATATATATATAATATAAGTATATTGTAATAAAATACTTTTTATCATTTTTATTTTTTTTATTTTCCATTATTTACTAATTTATTTCCTATAACTGTTTTACTATTAACGAGAATTTTATCGGAAAATAAATACAATTATACATATATATATATATAATATCATCACATAAATAACAAAAAATAAATATTTTTATATCTTTTAGAATTTTTGATTTTTGTTGAATGAATATAATATATTTTTATTGCTTAAAAAACAATATATACTTATATAATATATAGTGTTACGAATAAAAATAAAATTATACTTATAAACATTTAAAATTCCATGTAGATTTACAACTATTTAATTTGTCTATGATTTTTTATGTAGGGCAAGTTATAATAATTAATTAGTTCGGAAATAATTTTTAACTTCTAGAATATTAAAAAATATATTATTACATACATATTAAAATACAAAATTTTATTATTAATTGTTATTTTATTATTAGACAATTTGTTCTATATGATTTTCATAAATATTTTACTTTAATACTTATAAGTTTTATTACATCTAATATTTTTGTTTAAAATAAAATAATGCGTTTGTTTAATTTATCCAATTTAAGTAAAAACTGTTTTAATGTGTAGTTAAATGTAAGTGACCAATGACTTGATTCATATTCTGGTTATTTAAGTGGGAATGTAGAATAATCCCAGCAATTTATCATTCCTATACATGATCGATAGCCATAAAATTAGAAAAAAGAACTTATTATATTTAAATCGGTATAAATACATTTAAGTATTTATCATGTTAAAATATTGTTTTTTTTAAATAATTCTCACCTCCATTAGTTTTTTCGTAACTAGAATTTCATCCAGACTTTGTCATCTAAAATCATTTCAAAATATTCATTAATTAATGTCTTGTATAATTTTACTTATTATATTTTTATACAGCTATTATACTCATATTTATTGTGTAACTGTTTTAAGATATTTTCTTAAGGTTTACTAAAAAATATCAGGGTGACATCGAATCAAAATCAGCCAGGTTAACAATAGTGGTGAATATTCTCTAACCGATACTATTCAAAATAAATTTTCATTATTAAGGTGAGATCGAACCATAAAGTTTGTCCCTAAATGAGTACATAATAGTAGTGACGAAAGATTTAACTTAAAACATTTAACGACACATTATTAAATGGAATTATATAAGTAAAATTATCTATGCATAGTATTCTTTAACAAAATTAAGTTATTATTTCAGTTAAGTCATCCTTTATAATACGGAGTGTTTTTTTTTTTAAATGAACAGAATTTTACCATTTTTTATTTTTTAAATCAAAAAAGTATGCAAGTACTTTTTGAAACGTTCTGTCTTCAATATTGAAATATATTATCTGTTCAATGTTAATACATACTAAGATCCTAAGTATTATAAAAAGTACTTATTCTTCATATCGATTTTGTTATTAACATAGTTTACCTATCATAATGCTAATGATTTTAATAAATTAAATTTTATTTCAAATAAATATAGAGTATGGATCATAGTAACTCAATACAAATAAAATAAAACTAATATTTTAATGTTTAATATCTCGAACATCTATCTTAATTTAACTAAGTCTGTAAAAGTACACAGCATCACAGCATTACTTTATGAACATTAGCAGTTACCAAAAATTTAAGTGCACATAAAAAAAAAAAATACAATAATAAATAGTAGTTTAATAAGGATATATTATATGTTAAATACCCTAAATATAGGAGGGACCGTCGTCATACAGTCACTATAAAGAATTATATTTTGTATTTATCTCACCAGCAACACCATATTTTGTGGCCAACGGTATCCATAAGATAAATTTAAACAATAAACATGGGTTGACTGAGCATTTATATGATATAATTTATCGACTTCCCAGATTAATCTCGTTCAATTGTATACACTCCATTCTTATACTTTTTTGCAATTTACACTAGGTAGGTATCTAATTTTTTATAATTATACTAATGATTCTAATTACTAAAATTACCTTTTGTATTACATACAATATAAAATAATAATTACTTAAATAATTTCCAAAAAGAAGTGACTAATGAGTTAATTCCTTTGTGTAATATTATTTAGATATATTTTATCTGTTATTCATTTTTACTTACCTATTGACTATTATCGAACACCATCAAACATAAATTTATTTCATATTTTTATTAATTTAAAGTGTTTATTTGATTATTCTATAACACTATTTAACATCATTAATTTGTTTAGGTAATGTATATTTAATCAAATGACGTATAAAAAACTGTAAATACATGTACGAATTCTACTATAAGTATTCTACAGGAAATTTTTTTGAGTACAAATAGAAAACTTTTAATTTTAATTTGATATTTATATAATTGTTGAATTATCCTAAATCATGAAAATAAATTGTCATAAATATTGATGTCTTTTACGAGAAACACAACTCTCTTTTAAGGATAATTATATTTGTTGACACGGTGGTTTAGTTAAATAAATACCAAAATGTTGATAAAAAGCTTCCATACTTTTCTGAGAAATGTGCCATATTATCTTTCTTACCATAAAGCTATTCATTTGAAGTTTAAATTAAGTTTTTATTTGCTATAGTACATTTATCAAGTTTTATTTTATGAAAATATATCACGAAAACATCCGTTGAGAAAAAGTTTAATTTGTTAATGAAAAATAATTTTTGTTAAAATTTATTATGATACTGCATGTAATATTATGCTGTATTGTGATATAATATTACAATATAGTATTACTAATGACTTTTATAAATTAAAATTTAATTTTATTGTGTAAACTTAATATAAAATAATTATAGTATTTAATTTAAAAAAAAAAATATATTGTTATTTAGGAAATATAAAATAAATAAAATAGTCATATCAATAGCTCAATAGCATAAAACAACATTTAACGAGAAATGAGATCAAAATTAAATACACTTTCAAAAGTTATAGAACAATGCTTATTATTAATTTAAGTAAAACTAAAATAAATTTGAATAAGCATCAACCAATATTATTGTATGGATATCACTAGTTATAATTGTTATTGATTAAATACATATATACTAAATATTAAATTTGAATACATATTGTTGTATTCTTTTATCTTTTATCATATAGCTATTAGCTACTTTTATAAATGTATATTTAAAAGGAAAGAACCCAAAAATCTCTCATAAATACACTGAATAATACATTCTATATAACATAGGTAATTGGATGAATTTTAATACTTTTACACATTGTAGTTTATTTATATAATTTAATATTTTATAATTGCTAATTTAATACAAATCCAATATATACCATGTACTTATCTTGATAATAGTTATTATAAATTATGTTCTAATATTAGTAAGTTATATATATTTAAATCAAGCTAAATAGAGTTACTAACAAATGTCTGAAACTCAAAATATATAATACATCGAAAAAGCTGTTCATAAAATAGTCTAGTTTTTACTATTAAAACGGGTACATTTATAGTAAGTTATATGGATTTTAAATCTTTGAAAATATTTATTTTTTTTACATTACTTAGTGTTATATCACATGAATAAACCTCTAAATATAAGCAAGTTATTTATCTATCATTAAAACGTAACAGAAAAAGTTTAAATAATACAATAATGTAGTTAAAAAAAGTAAATAAAAATGGTTGTGTTTATTTGTTGGAATGTGTATATAATAAATAAAAGTTATATTACAATAAATAAAACGATAAGCTCGCAACACCAGCACACGATAACAAGACCCTTGACGACCATGATTGCAATAATCACCATCTAAAATGTTATTATCATTGACCAAAACGCTGGCTACGTTCCACTTTCATATCAAACCATATTATACACTTGCAATAGTTTAAAAGTAATGTCTTACGATTTTATTATCCACTATCAAAGATTTACTGATACATTTGACTATGATGATAAACTATTAAAAAGAAGAATATATTGTTGTCCAAAATGATAAAAATGTATCATATTATAGTATACGTGAAGTGAGTTACAGAATGAATTGTTTTTCAATAAAATTGATTTAAACATTTTTTTCACATTGACAGCTCAATATAAATACTACGTAAATATAACTTTTAATAGTTGTATATTCATATTGCTTAAATAGTTAAGTATGAATCAAAAAATATAAATAAAAATAGCATACTTACTTTATATAATTTTATGAAAAATAAAAAATAATGTTTTATATGGTAGGTAATATATGTATATTTACATGTATACAATAAACATCGAGTGATAATATTAAAAAATATAAAATTCACTATTATAAAATTCCTATCCAAATCGTTAACACATTAATAAATTATGCAATGCTGTATTTGATTTGAAAATATGAAAAACGGACCATTTTTGATATGAACTAACTATTATAAATAACAATGCAATATACATATTAGTATAATATACTCAATACTACTCAAATAACTATCAATAACTAGTTAGTTTTTAACATACTGTTACATATGCTATTTACTTATTTATAATTATAAAAATTATATTGAAATATTAAGATTAAAATTTCTATTAAAAAAAAAAAACAATGAATATTGTTAAACATGATTTATAATATTTTTACATACATATATATTTTAATTTAATAATTTTAATGAAAATAATAAGCTATAAAATATTCTCTCAAAAAATCAAATTCTATTATGTAAATCAGAATAATGACACAAGCTAATTTATGAATAATAAATTACATAAATATAATACTTGATTTAATAACAAAAATGTTATTTTATTGAATTGTTTTTGTAGTATTTAAATAAAAAAAAAAAATACTTACATTTTATTTATGTAAAAATATAAAATGTCTCTCTCTTTTTTTATTTTTAATAATATGCATTATGCCTATTTAACACCAACATGACATATTTATAAATATTAATTATTTAAAAACCATATAATTATTTATTTTAATTTTTTTTTTTTTTTTTTTTTTTTTTTTTTTTTTTTTTTTTTTTTTTTAATATTGACAACTTCAACATACTTAATTAAAATAAAATATTTAAAAATCTAGAGAATGAGTATAGTTTATAAGCCAACGTAAAAATATCAATTTATTAATAACTTTAATTATATTTAACGCATTTTATTTGTAACAATAATCGTTAACTTTTTGAATATTGAAATTTATACTAAAAACATTTTATAGATATTATAACAAGTATAATCATCTTAACTTTAAGTATTTATTAAAAACAAAATTAAACTTAGATGTAAGGTAAATTTAATTGCTTCGTTTACGGTATAATATTATTAATAATTGAATAATTTTGTGTAGAAATGAATTCTGCTTTAGTTACAGCCAAAATCATATAACAGGTACATGGAAAATTATGTATATTATATATATATTATTAAAGTTGTAAGGGTGCAAGACTAGTAAAACAGCTTTTCTCAAAGCTAATAATATTATTGAAAACAACAGGACATAATGTCAAATGAAAACAACACTGTTTAAACCACACGTTTCATAGAAACGTGCGTGCGTTGAAACGATATCGATTAGCCAATTAGGTGTCAGATGAAATCGATAAACGGGTATAATATATACTGGTCAGTTTCCTGAGAGTAGTCACTCTTCTTCAATACTTCAATCCATCAACAACGATACATCAACAAGGAATTGAAATTGAACTAAGAAAAACCTAACCAGCATCGATTGGTCAGCGATCCGGTGACGACAGAGAATAACGATCGGACCAGTGCTGTGGACGAACAGCAAGTTATAGCCACGCTACTTCCACCAACGATGCACTGCGGATTCCTTATCCCATCGACTAACGGTAACTACTTGGCGA